CTTCATAATTCAGAAACATATGAATTGTGCTACTCTGAGAGGGCTTTAAAGAGTGCAATGTTTAATTGAAGATGTTTGAGGAGGTTAGGGCAGTGAGGGAGGGGTGAGGGTGGTTGTATGTGTGGGTTGCTGTGACACAAATTAGAGTTGACTCACCCCATGCCTAGTTCTAATCCTCTGGATATACTGTGCTAGTACAGGTGTCCAGAAAATCCAATTAACATAACCGTGGTCAAAAAAAGGAACGAAAAGTATGAATGCAAATGTTATGCCATGCATTATCTCCTTTCCTTATTAGTCACCCTCAAAGCAAAATCTCTCCTCTGTCCCCCATGTCGACAAAGGTAGAGGTTTCTCACAAATCATCTTTCTTTGGAGTTACACAGAGGCTTAAGGAGTTTTAATGGACGAAACTATGCTTATGAGATTACTTACTGTATATGAGCGACTACAGTCTCTTTATGTTCGACTTCACTGTTTGTTGAATTTTCCAGATTTCATGCCTGCATGATGTGACTGAGGCACCTTCTCAAAAGCGTCTCACCATGAAAAAAAGACCTTTATTATGTCTCAACAGGAAATTAGAAAATTGTTGATCCCTGATGTGTCAATCGACTTAGACAATGGCAAATGCACTCGTGATAAACAGAGTAAACAGTGTATTCAGCTTAGTCTGTCTCCATTTCCTTCCAAATTAAGTCAACTCTTCCAACCATTTAGTTTCCAAGAAAATATTATCTAAAATAAATAAGGCTTAGTGCATGCATTATTGAACAGATTAATGCTTTTGAGGCAGAGAGAAAGAGGCGCTTAAATATCAAGAGCCGCACAGGGAAGCTTTTCACAGGAGCTGAGTAGAAGATGAAAAATGTTCATGTTAGGTGCGGAGGGAGAAAAGTGACCATTTCAGTGCAGCAAAAAGACCTGTGAAGCTTAAAATATTTTGCAAAGAGGAAACAATCTTCCTGCAGGCTGTTGTAAATAAAACAACAGCGGTGGGGTGGTTTGCAACCATGTAATGGGCTTTTGTGTGGTTCTGCTGGGGGGTGGGGGCTCTGTGTTTCCTTCCCTGCAGGGTCCCAGTATTTCTTCCCCCGGTCACAAAGGCCTGTATCTGCGACTGCCCCTCCGCCCCCAGCCCCGGTGCAGCCCATGCTGGGGCCTGTTCAAGGAGGCCCAGTCGGGTGTGAGCGAAGGCACAGGGCTGCCGCATTAGGGAGTGTTTTTGCTATGCATGTCGAAATCTCGACAGCTCCACAGTGAGCACAGCTGGAACAAACTTTCACCAACTGGATTCATGCCTGATTTCCTGATGCGTTTAAAAAGTATTTTATTAATTTTTAAACCCACAAGGACCTTAATTAATCCAGATTCTTTTATTTAGGTACCCTTTTTTCCCCAAGTGAATATGTTTATATGTATATAGTTGACTAGACAGAATGCACTGCTTAAAACAACATTATCCTAAATACAAAAGGAATATAACAATTAACAGGTTAATAACAATTAACCACTTCTACATTATTTTTTTTTTTTTCACAGTGAGTACCTCATATAACAATAGATTGATGAAGAGTTCTAAGATATTTGTGAAGCTAGGGATTCAGAAAGCCAGTGAAAACATCTCTTAATTAAAACTGAGGTTATGTTGAAGTCAAATCACCCATCTTACTCATCTGGTAACATTTGTATGATTTGCAAAGAAAAAGACCCTAAAAAGTAGAATGACATTCAGCACATTTCACACTTTTTTTAGATTTTGACAGATGATGAATTTGAGACGAGACAACAGGTTTTTCATGAACCGCTCCCAGGTAGCCTGTTCTGGCCTTCCTGCACCTAGCTGAGATTCCATCCAGTCTAGATTAGGCCTCTAATGAGTCTTCATCATAGAGAAATGAAGATTTAAAAATTATATGAATGTATTTTCAAATCAACATCTTGTTAATGCAGAACAGCAATAAAACCGTCTGTACTTCACTTCAGATTGCAGTATCATTGGTGTCCAAAATAAAAGGGAGCTTAAGATTCCACATGCTTTGAAGAAATAAGAATATTTTTTTTCTTTCCAGAGCTCAAAATGTGTAAATCGAAGCTGAATTGCACAACATATTAGGTTTGTGCTTAATGCAGCAGTGTCCGCTGCTTGGAAGACAAGCCAGAGGTCAAATGGAACTCAACAAAGACACAACATTGGTTAGAACGGTCCTCCACGTGAAGCTCTGACAAGAAGAACAACTAAAAAAAGGGGCAGAAAAAGAAGTAAAAGAAAAAAAGAACAATGAAAAAGAAACATTCCGCAGGCACCAGCAGCATTCCAGCGGGAATAGAATTTACAGTGAGAGTGGAACTGCAGTCAGCGCTTCTCACAGAGGGAGAGTCAATGAGCCCAACAATGCCACGTGACAGCTGAAAGACCTGACGCCCTGAAAGGTCTCCCTGAAACGTTACCACCTGCAAGAACTCCAGAACTGTCTGATTACCTTCCACTCCACTGCACCCAGCACCTCGTGACTCCTGGGTCTGGTGAAAGGAGCTGTGGAATGTACAGTGTTCCGAGCCGTGAGGAGAGACAATGGCTGAAGGTTAGGGGCTTGTATTGCTGACCGTGATGCCTTGCACCTGGTCTGTTAATGACTGCAGTGCAAGGGGGATATTTGGGACTTATCTGCAAAACAACGGGTCTTCTGTCAACAGGTGAATGCCACTTTTTAAATGTATGCTGCTGGATAAAAACAACAACAACTTACTTACAATGATGGACTCTTCTCTGTTCAGAAGTATCCAATTAGAATTGATACTAACTGATCATGTTTGATTAGTCAGATAACTTCAGAAAACATTTTATTAATAAATGTATACCAATTTTATTTCAGTACATGTCCGGATATCTGGAAAAAAAAAACATCTTGAGGCCGTACACTACCAATCATGATTACCTTTACAAGTGAAAGCAAGGATAGAAGGAAATTCTGAAAAACTGCAGCCTATAAAAACTAATTTACAAAAATGATTAGAATAGTCCTTTACCCTTCTTGTGTTTGAAAAAGTACCCTTTCAGTATTGCCAGGTATCCAGACATATGACTTATCCTTAGTTTGTCAATTCTGACCTTACCCTTTTCAGGACCATTTTATATATTATCCAGTCATAGGGAAACTATCCTTGGCCCCAGAGCCTTGAAAACAAACCTCTGTTGGAATTTGAGGGCAAGACTGTATAATCACAAAGAATTTCAGAGAGATGGGCTGCCCAGCAGCGAATTAGAAAGTTTGGGCTTAAAAGAAAGAACGTCCTTGTTTGGGGTTGCACACTGCAGCTGCCTCTTTCTTTTTTTCAGTGGTTTATTACACACGGGCATCTAATGAATGGGAGCTGCTGTTTTACAGTACATCCCAATTCCAGGACGTATCTGCAAGCCCACCACAGATCTGACGGGCCCACTGCAAGGCGCTGCCATCATAATTCTTTCAAGGCAAAGGAGTATAAAGGGGGCTTGTTGGTGATTGGCGAGACCTACGAAGCCCTGCCTTGAGGGGCTGCTGATGCCATCCCTAGTTGTGTTCTTTGGCATAGTAAGGTACAGAAACATGGATTGTTCACTTGTTCAAGAGGTTCAGAAAACAGTGGAATGACAGAAATTATAGGAGGCAGTTCCCAGGTTCAAGCAGGGTTAGGCCTTTCAAGAATTAGATTTGGCATTGCAGGGGGTGGGGAGCAGGGAGCTATGCTGTCACTGGCTCCCGGGTCTTCTTTCCACAACAGCCTCAGTGGTTCTGCAACAAGCATATGAGAAGCAAATTATGAGAGTTTATTATTTTTGGAAGATGGCATTCGTTTACCATGTGCACGATTGAAACCTGATTGGAGTTGTTTTCCTTTCTCTTTTGCTTTGCTCTCTTTCTTGGTACATCTTTGAAGTGTCCTGCTGTGATCTGCACCAAAACCTCCCTAGGACAGCTTTCCCAAACTCTGGAGCAGACCTTTAATGTAACAGCTACAAGCAGTAGAGCTACAACAGTGTGGAAACTCTTCACAGACCTGAAATGCAGCCACATCCTCTCAATCCTCTATGCACCTCACAATAAGTCATTTTTACTGTTTTCACACAAACACCCAGGAATATATTGTTTCCCAGAAAAAAAAGCTTATTTTCTTATTCCCCAATTTCCTATTTATATCAATAAATCTCACATATATTTTTTAAAGAAAATTGTCTCTTGCAAACAGGATACAGAATAAAATATGTAAATACAATATGCATGCCCTTTAACAAAATAAAAATGGTTATCAATCATTTCATAAAGAGTCCCTTCACAGGATTAAGCGGTAGCATTTTAATGAGGAAGACTAGCGTAAACAGAAGATTCCATTTAATTATGTTGCTCAGAAATTTCAAACCCGTGATGATGTTGTTCATTGTCAGATTTAATACATATTTATAAATATTAATTAGATATTCATTTTAAAATCTTTTTTGTATGGTTTATAAATGCATGACATAAAAGGCCCCTTTCCAAATACATACCCTTTACCCAGCATTATTCTCTGTTGAAACAGGCAACAATAGTATTCAACCCTCTTAAAACTGGTCACTGTCTATTGCAGTTTTCTGCAGACATGACAGCCCTTTGCTCTTTTCTGATCTGTTTGGAAGCTATTTAAATGTTTTAAAATTATTTAACATGGTAAGAAGGAACTCTGTCTAGACTGAAGCTGATTCATTCATATATCTGAGCAATAATCACTGCAAAATAAAACAATAAAACAATATTTTGGTGATCAGGATAATTTGATTTCTTGATTTTAGGTTACTTGCCTCATTGCACCTTTTAGAAATGTATTTATACACAACGTGTTATCTTTCATAGAATTCTGAGAGGTTTCAGAAACCTGTAAAATTCCCAAACACCGAAGCCAAACATCTGCAATGCTTTTTCTAATGAGTGATACATTCACTTAAAAAAAAACATTAGTAAAGGAAATAAAGATACCTGAAATATTACAACAGGATGACAGTTTTATTTAGTTGAGTTAAGGAAACAGGTTTTTCATACATTAATATACAATCAATCAGTTTATGTACAGCAATGTAGATAAAGAAAGCAAGATGACATACCAAATAGGTTGTTTAGTTGATAGTACTGCTGCAGCCTTTACAATTTTCAAAAAAAAAAATCTTTTTGGATCTAAACAATTACAGTATTAGCAAACCAGTGATGTTATCACTATTTAAAATTTATCTTGTTCCCTTTTTCCACTGGCACGGTGTCTGAACTCCTTTGTCCCTCCATGTAGCTCCCCTGTAACATTTAGAAAAACAAACATTTAGTAAAATTGTATTGACACCAGAATCATTTTTGTTCTCTTTTAACAATTTACAATTAGTCATTCTGTTATAAATCTCTTCACTTTCTTTTTTCCCTTTCAGTCACTCTTCTGACAGATAAAAGGTAAAGGGCTTGTTTCAGTCTAGTAGTTGTCTCAGTAATGACAACTATGACAACAGCAATAAGTTATATTGATTGTGTACAGTAAGTGCTCAAGAGTGGCTCAGTGTTTTATTTAACAATTTTTCTAAATAAGAAAGAAAATTCCAACTTGCAAAAAGATTTAGTGCATTAATAGTAACAAAAATTGTTGTTTTCCATATTAAATTTATTTCAACAGCGTTTAGTTAAACAAAATTAGTGCAGTGAATTGTAAGTATTTATTAAACATTAATTTAAATTTTAGATGGTCAAGGAATTGTGAAAATATAGGTTTTGCTCAACTCAACTAACTTGTTGGAGATCTTCGATCATGCACAAGTATATGTACAATTGATATATTTAAATTTTTAGAATGATTTTGGTAAAGTACATAATGAAAGAATAATTCTTATATTGAAGACTGTAGGTATCCAAGACAGTGCAGGTACTTGGATTGAACTCTGGTTAATGAACGGAAAACTGAGATTGTTCAGACTAGGTTGAAACAATTAGTGGAGTACACCAGGGGTCCGTATTAGAAACCTTCTCTCTTCTAATTCATGTAATTGATCTAAATTTATCTTAAAAACTAGTTAGGATCTCAAATGATACTGAATGTCCCACAGAAACAGAAAAGGAAAATCAAAAAGACAAAATTCCAGTGTTTTTTCTTAGCATACAATCCCTACAAAAGTATAGGTATGCATATTATATTGTAAAGTAGCTCTGCCCATTTCACAATGTTACAAAGCAGAACTATCTAAACATAGATTTCTAATTCTACTCTGTGTATATGAAGTTAATGTTAACAGCCACAACACAACAGTGTGACCCTTATTAAGAGTCATCAGCATGACACCTAGTCAAACAGCTACCCCTAATCCCTGGATTACTTAGTGAGAAGTAACCAAACTAGATAGGCCAAATGGCCTCCAGTTCTTTATAACCTTTCTTATTTTCCTTATTTTCTTTTCCAGGAAGTGCTGGTGTACAGAGAAGGACTTGAACAGCTTTTAGGTTTAGCATTTTATAATTCCAGGAAGACTACACCTCAATGACATAAGACTGGGAAATCAGTCTGAGACTGGAAAGGAGGAAGTTCGTTCAATATTACTCCTCTTGAAATGGAACACCTGAAATGCAATTTAATCCTGTTCCTCAAATTCCACATACTTTCTGTGGTACACAGAGTACTAGCACTTTCTCTGAAATCTCTGCCATGTCACAGTACCCTTAAGCATAAAAATGACCTCAAGGATTTATGATTTGCCTTTTCTTGCTTGCTTCAAAAAGTGTGTTTTCTGTGTGAAGAACATTAACAGTAAAATGCATCTACATAACCAGTTAAACTCTCCTATTTAATTCCCATTTGCAAAGAAATGCAAGACAGGCATGTATCTGATAAAGCCACAGCATTGAATAAATAAAGGCATGCTACCAATTAGAATGTTTTATAAAGAATCACTAATTTATATTTCAGTTAACTTTTTTGCAGAGGTATGATTGCTGGACCTATTGAAATAAAACTTGAATTGTTAGGTAGTAGGAAGTTACTTTATTAAAATGCACTGTAAATCTTGAGTTTACTGTAATTGGAAATTAGTACTAGTCCTGATTCTAAACCTGACCAGTGAGATGTTTTTCTTAACCACATTAAACCTTGCTGTGCTTTGGCATACAAACATAGACAACTGCTTCAATATACAGGTGACACGGAAATCAAAGAGGTTATATTACTCAACACTTAAAAAGTAGAACAGCCAAATTCCCTGGGCATTCTCCATGGCAACACTGGGTGGAAGTGCATGATTAAGTTTTACTCTTATGGTGAACAATATTATTTTATATGATTGTACTTTTTAAAATGAACTTAATGTGAACAGTTTCAAAACATTTTAAATAACCAGCATCTGTTCTGAGTTGTTACTAAAATGTCAATTAAAAATGAATAAAATATCTACTTATGGGTTATATGGAATTCAGCAGGTCTCTGATTTTAATTTTTATTTGATACCAATCGTGTAAAATCAAAACACTGGTATTGAAACAGTTAATATTCATATGTGTTTGGAGAGTAAGAAGAAACATTACATCTAGCTAACAAACTCTTCCAGATTATTTGATGTTGAGTTTTTAAAGGTTCTGCACATATTCTGTCATGTGTAAATGCATGCAAGAGTGTTCACAGTGTGAACAATAAATTAAAGAAATATTTGCAGTTATTATTTTGCCTGGAATTCCAGCATGCTTTCGTATTTTTTGTTCCAGTCAAAAGAGAACTTTGTTCAGCCCAAACTGGGCCCCAGTAATGCTGCAAGCAGCACGGATTGGGAGCTTTCTTTTGTTGTGCTGCATGCTGACATCATACACTCCTGATCTGATAAAACCCCCTTTCTCTAACACCAGCACTTTTGAAACAAAACTGCCATGACACTGATGAGTAATGCCAGCTTGCCAAAAATACCCTGTTAATCATCACACACAACTGAGTTCAACTGATAAATTCAAAAGGTAATCAGAAACGTATCTCAGCTGCCACAAACATTTTGTGTTCTAAGCCTCCACGAGGGGATCTGGCACTTTGTTTGTTAGCCGTTTCGGACACAGCCTCTGCTCGGTACAGGCTGACTTCCCACAAAACGCATGTGAGCAGAAGGGCTGAGAGGAAAAAAGCTCACACTCCCTCCATCAGCAACGGTTTACTTCACACACAGAGAAATGTTTCCAAACACTTCAGTTACACCACGGCGGTGGCCAAAACATTATTTAAAGAAAATCTGATACTTTCTACATATATGTGTTTGTTCTCCAGATTTTACATCCATGTATGTTGACATTAATATTGCCTGTTAGGAAATTTGCTCTTCTCCACCTCCTTTAAAATATTTGATGATTCACTCGTGAAAGAAGAATCTTCACGGGGGTAAAGAAGAATGTTTAAAATCAGTGCCCATCCACACATGAGCTTTATCAGCTGTTCCTCTTCTAATGTTGACATAAGTCATGGTGTATGTGTTAGATATGACCTCTCTTGTGATCATCTTGGATAATAGTGCTCAGCCACCAAATTTTCACTGCATCTACCATCATCTGTGGAAAATAGGTTCTGAGATCTATGCAACATGCCTGCTGAAAAGCATTGATTGTTCACTTTCAAGATAAAGTACCTAGCTCAGTTGGAAACAAATACACATGACTATATACAAGGTTTTTCAAAGCAACCTGATGTAGCTTTTAAAGCTCATCAATTACTTTCTGCTTAACAAATTATATATATACAGATTATTTGAATTTCAGGATGTAAAATGATAGGCTGAATGACATGACAATGAGAAATTCTAAGAAACCTGACATTGTTCGATGTCAGTCTTTCATTAAGTAAGAAGATAGGCTGCCATTATGGTACATTTATATGGTTTATGTTTTTTAACATTCATATAAATAAAACTAGTACAAACCCTTTTTATTGAGCTTTTCCTAAACCAAAAGCTCCAACAGCTTCAATATGTTATTTTAAACTATTCTCTGAGATACTAATGAAAATACAAGTGCTGTACAAAGTCAGTTCAGACAGGGACTGCAGCACGATCCTTGAAGTAGTTCTGTCTCTGGACAAGAGGAGGGATGTGCTAGGCATCACAGAAGTGCAAACCCGTGCAAATCTCTTATTTGGAGTTTTCCATATTGGAAACAGATCAGCGAACATAAAATTGTGAGGAACTGGCAAGAAGTCACAAAGACAAACAAAAACTCAAGGAAAGTAGTTTATTCCACTCGTAACAATTCCCACCTGAGTACAGACATCTATTAGACTTTGGACTGTGACAAGCAGACTATAAGAGGATCAAATAAACAAATAAAAACCCGAAGAAAAACAGAAAGGTTACAAACAAGAGGAGATCATGCAGCCCATCTAGCTCATTGGATAGAGACCAAACACCTCGTTTGGAGACCCTTATTGTGGGTTGTCCATTGCAGGTATTTTTTCATCCAGACCACAGGTGGTGAAAAAAGACAGTACTATTCATCGCACTTGAAGACAATAATCACAGACAATAGTTTATGTGGCCAGATTATTGGGCCTCTTTGCAGGACGTATCACTTTTTAGACGATTTATGGCAGTTTAACATATATTTTGCATGTGTGTGTGTTATAAAGAAATTAAGGGTAATTTTCTATTCAAGGGCCATGTCACAGAAGGCCCAGATTTATATTTTATCTATGATAGATAATAGCATAATATTAGCGTAATAGATTTTTATATTTTAGCAGAATAGATTTATATTTTTATGCTCTTGATAGCAATCAGACATGCAACTCTATGTCTATATGTTACAGTACCTGCTAAAGGCTTCTGTGCCTTCTGAGCTCCTTTAACAAAGGTGACAAGGAAAGCGCGTGTGTGGTCGTGTATCTGGGGCTGTTAGGGTGACACTAGGAGCACTTTACAATTGTAGTCTCTCATAAAATGTGTAAAGGTTAAATAAGAGTTGTCTGCATTTATATTTTTAGTTCTCTGTCCTTTTGTAACAGGTCGTGTTGTGTTACTAAGAAAATATTTCCATGTAAAAGGACACCAAGTTGACATTTCGATTTGACAGGAATAATAATAATAATAATAATAATAAACTTTATTTTATATAGCGCCTTTAAAGGTGGCTTCTCAAAGCGCTTTACAGGATGACAATAACAATAAATAAGAAGACTACAACAATAAATAAGAAAATTTCACAAGAGGACACAATTATAATTACAACAATACAACAATAAAAATAGAGGAGAC